GATGCCTGCATTTCACCATTGGCTGTGGTCCCTCAATGGTATTCAGTGGGCAACCACCTGGTCTACAAGGGGACAAGATGGTTCACTCACATCCCTGGCAACTTGATGGTATAGTCAGAAGGCTGGATCCACCAGATCCATCCCCGTCTCCGTGTGGGTTCAGAGTCTCTCCATATGGTCTCTCAAGCTGGTTAGCTGGACTACTTACATGCAGGCTCAAGGCTTGAAGAAAAATGAACAGAAACTGCCAATCCTCTTAAAGGCTATACCCAGAACTGGCATAGTTTCACTTCCACTCCACTTTATTGGACAAAGCAGTTCCAGGCCAGCTCAGATGTAAGGTGAGGGGAAATAACCAAATCGGTCTCTGGTAGGAGAAGTATCTAAGAGCTTATAGTCATGTTTAACATCAAATAGCCCTTGAACTCTAGCAATCATGGAGCATGAAATCATTCTCTGGGAAATACCCACCCACACCCCGCCAACCCCACAAGGACCTTCTGTGGATGGCACAGAGCACCTTGGTTGGTATGGACTTCAGTAATGTGGGAAGTGACAAGGCCCATCTGAGACTCTTGCCACAAACCTGGAATGCATGTCTTCCTTTATTTTGAAAAGCTTCAGGACATTTTTCCCTCCCATATGTTAAGCATTAAATGGCAAAGATGATAGAAACAGGCCTAACGAGCCTTTGATTTTTGTATACGCCATGATGCTGTGCTGGAGGAGGTTGAAGATGGGGAGCTGGGTCCTCATAGAAATACTCATGAGTGCCCCCCATCCTTCCAGGAAGAGCCCGTGCCTCTCTCAACCATCAGTAAGCCCAACTGCTTTTAATTCCAACAAGTTGTTTTCTTTTATCATTAATTTTGACAGTAGAAAAAAAAGCCCTTTGATATCAAAGAAGGCAGGCCTACTCGAAATTATTATTTTTATTAGATTAGTAATAGTGGTGGTGATAAATTGGACCAAGCAAAAGTTGATGTAATGGACCCTCCTGGCCCCAAGCACAAGGCTGTCATCTCCGTTTACCTTGCTTCTTCATTCTGGCGGTTATAAGTGATTGTGTGTCTGTCTCTCTCCCCTCTGGATTTGTCAGCACCTGGAGGGTATAGCCCTTGTCTCATTCACTTTTCTACCTCCCAACTCCCCATGGCAATAAGCACAGAGAGTTGCTTAATCAACACACCAGATAGGAGATTCAGTAAAACCTCAATTAGTTGGAAACCTCATTGAACTGGGTTTTGTAAATGACTGTCCCCTGGGAGGAGGACAAAGTCAATGTGAGAAATAAGCTCAAGGATAAGATGGTTTCTGTTGCATTTTTGCCTTTGTCTTTAAAGCAATTTTTTAAGAGATGGGATCTCTCTGTGTTGCCCAGGCTGGACCACAGTGGCTGTTCTCAGGTGCAGTCTCACTACTGATCATCACTGGAGTTTTGAGATGCTCCATTTCCAGCTGGCTGGTTCATCCCTCCTTGGGCAACCTGGTAGTTGCCCCTCCCTCCCAGGAAGTCAACATATTGATGCTCAATTTAGTGCAGACACCTGAAGGACATAACACTGCAGCCAACGGCTCCAGGGCTCAAGCATCCTCCTGCCTCAGCATCCCGAGTAGCTGAGACTACAGGTGCGTACCACCACACCATGCTTTAAAGCATTCTTAAGGGTAGGCCTGGGGTCTGCACATGGTTAGCTGAATCATCACAAAATACACTCACCCTCCCCAGGCCTGATTGAAGTGTGTATTAGTCTCTTTTCATACTGCTGAAAAGACATACCCGAGACTGGGTAATTTATAAAGTAAAAGGGGTTGAATGGACTCACAGTTCCATGTGTCTGGGGAGGCCTCACAATCATGGCAGAAGGGGAAAGGTACATCTTACATGATAGCAGACAAAAGAGAGAGTGAGAGACAAGCAAAAAGGGAAACCCCTTACAAAGATATCAGGTCTCGTGAGACTTACTCACTACCACGAGAACAGTATGTGGGGAATCCGCTCCCATGATTCAATTATCTCCCACCGGATCCCTCCCACAACATGTGGGAATTATGGGAGCTGCAATTCCAGATGAGATTTGGGTGGGGACACAACCAAACCATACCAAACCTAGTTCCTCTTTCACCCTGCACATGATGGGGGCAAACAAAGAAATAGTTTCAGGCATTGAATAAAGGTTATCTTGAGGCCTAGACATTCATTCAACAGGTGTCCATCCACCACTTACTATGGGCACTTACTGTTCAAGGCAGTGGATATGTAACATTGAGCCTGCAGCTTGAGTGGGGAAGGAAGACAGATAATGAACATGGAAACATACAAACAGGTGCTATGACAAGTGATCCTAAGAGCTACCATGAAAAATAAAGCAAGTTCAGGGAGTAGCTGGGGAGAGGGGTTGTTCGTGAGAAAAGGAGCTAGGAAGGCCTCCAGAATGGGAAAGAAACACACATATAGCTGAGGGAGGAGAGTTCCAGGAAGAAAGACAAGTGCAGAGGTGGGAGAGCGCCTGGGAGTCTGGGAAAGGCATTCTGTGTGTCCGGAGTGAAGTGAGGCAGAGGGAGGATGGGAAGAGATAGACCAGAGAGGGAGCCAGGCTGCCTGCCGCTGTCAGGAGTTAGGATTTTCCTCTGAATGAGATGGGTTTTGAGCAGAGGCATAACATGATCTCTCTCATTTGCATCTTAAATGCCTCATTCTGGCTTCTGCCAGAACAACAGACTGAGGGGCCAAGAGGGAGAGAGGAGGTAGGAGGCCAGGTCGGAGGCTGCTGCAGGATCTGAGCAGGGCACGATGTGACTGTGACCTGCAGAGATGGGCATGGTGAAAAGGGGTCATTTTCCAGATCAATTTTGATGGCACGCAGAGGGAGATGAGAGACACAGCAGTCAAAGATGACTCCAAGGTTTGGTCCTGAGCACCTAGAGAGTCAGTGTGGGAGGTGGAGGTGTAAGGTGGGACAGGGGTTAGGTTTGAATTTGTTAGGTGTGAATCTAAACATCTTCCCATGTTTTAAAAAAATGAGATTATTACTCACCTTGAGGGACTGTTGCAATGAGCAAATGATGTGAGCGAAGGCAGATTTAAACCTAGCTGCATTATGTGAAGGGTATTCTTTACTCCCTTGACATTTTTACTTGGCATTCATGCCATATTCTTTCAAGGTTTCTTACCTATTGCTTCAGAACCTTGGCTTCTTTCCAGCAGACAAATCAAAATAACCCTGGGAGAGTTTTCATTATTCAGATGCCAGGTCCACCCCTCACCTGTGAATGGGAGGTCCTGGCAAAGGCTGTGGTCTTGGGCACTCCCAGGTGTGTCTGCTGTGCACTCGGCTCAAGAATTGGAGCTTGGCTGGGCATAGTGGCTCAAGCCAGCACTTTGAGAGACCAAGATGGGAGGATCACTTGAGGCCAGGAGTTCAAAACCAGCCTGGGCAATATAGCAAGATACGTCTCCACTAAAAGTAAAAAAAAATAGCTGGGTGTTGTGGCGTGTGCCTGAAGACCCAGCTACCTAGGAGGCTGAGGTGGGAGGATTGCTTGAGCCCAGGAGTTCAAGGCTGCAGTGAGCTCTGATTGTGCCACTACACTCCAGCCTGAACAACAAAGAAAGACCTTGTCTCAAAATAATAATAATAATAATAAAGTAAAGGAAGAAAGAAACTTAGGGCATTAGAGGGAACAGGCAAGTACGTGAAAATGAGACACAAATGAAACAGGATTCTAGCTTAGAAGGCTTTCTAATCGTGGAGCCCAAAAGACCTCAGTTTAAATAAATAGTATTAGGTTTATTATGAACTTGATACTATAGTAAGATTCACTCTAATAATAGAGGAAAATTTGAAGAAAGGAAAAATTTGAATATTTTTATTGATATTAAAAATGATGTTAAAGAGATTTTATATGAGAAAAAAACATTTTATTGTAAATACAGTAGACTACATATTGGGATCATGTAGAAAGTCTTAATTTCTGAATATTCAGTAATAATTGACTAACACTTTAAAGAGTATAAAATAACTGCTTTAAAAGTCATTTGTGTGTATGTATATGTATACTACATATGTATCAGTGAATATAGAAAAAAGCAGAAATTACTCAAACTCTAATCAGTCATATCGTATGTAGTTTTTAAATTTTTGCTTTCAAAGAAGTATAAAGTAAAAATTTACCAACCACTACCAAAAGGCAATGGCATGCTGACCTTTGCTCTGAGTTGTGAATTGCCTAACTCCTCCACTGGGGGATAGCATCTTACACTATTTCTTCTCTGACTCTTCTTTCTACCTGGAATATGGGCACACAGTAATTTTGGTGTTGAAGGAAAGAGGTGAGGAGGTATCTTACACGCCTGCAAATTGAATGAGTCCTCATCCATTTGGAAGACAAAGAAATAGATGTTCAGAGAGGTTAAGTGACTTTCCAGAAGCCACACAGCTGGAACTGCGCAGAACTGGTGCTGGGACACCATTTTAATTACAAAGACCAATTTGCTAACCACGATGCAAAGTTCCTCTCTAAATCCAAAGAAATTATTTCAATCTACCGTCAAAAGAACCCTAAAAGATCAGAGGGTCTGACTGCTTATGCGAGTCTCAAAATGGTTTTGGAAACTACAAAGCACTATACAGATGTAAGGAGTTTAATTGGTAATAAAATTGTATCCTGGCTGCTTCCTATGGTCTTACCAACACTGCAGACTCCTGGAGGAGGAGCTATGCCTTTCCTTTCACTTAGAGCTCTCCTGCTGGTGCCCAGCACCCAGTGAGTCCCCCAAACATGCTCACTGAATTGTGCATCTGAATTTGTCCTCTCTGAAATCAGAGAAGGCAGAATTAATTTGGTTGCACTGTATTATTAATGTTGCTGAGATTGATATCAGTGTTGAATGCCAGAGGAGCATTCCAGCTGCCTGTCTTCTTGAATAGGAAAAGAAAGTGAGATGAAACAGTTTCGAGTTTCCCCAGTGAGGCCCTGCCTGGTGCTGATTCACTTACTTCTGTTCAGACTCTGCACCAGAGCGTCCAGTGAATTCCAGGCCCCGCATCTCACCAACACCACCTACGCCAACAGCTGACATGATGGGAGCTTACCAGATGCCAGACACTGTGCTGGGCTTTACATGTGTATGCTTATTTAGTCTGGCCCACACCCCGGGACTCAGAAACTACCGAGAATCATCCTTATTTCACAGCTGAGGTTCAGAGAGGATAAATAACTAGTCTGTGGTCAAACAGTCACAAGACATACATCTGTGTTTTTAAGCCTGAATTATTAACCAGTGTACCCTCTAACCTCTGAACATCATAGATGAATCAGTGCCTGACCGGGTCACCAAACTCTGGACACCCAGTAAGAAGCCCAAAATCCAAAAAAATATATAAACCAGAAACAAAGCCTAGGAAGGAAAGATTAAGACCACAATCTCCATCTCTCTCTGTCTTTCTCTTTCTCTCAGCACAAGATATTTCCTCTATATTTCATAGAACGAGTTTTGTGTATTCTGTTTGTGCACCAGGACATTGGAATGGAAAGGCAAGAAATCACTGTTACCTCAACAAATAACTAATTTTAAAAGCAAAGGACGTCATTTGAGTTATTGAAGTTCAGAAGTATTTCAGGATACACTTACCGGTGAGTTAGGCGTCCGCACTCTTGGGAAACAATGCCCAGGTAATTATTTTAAATGAGCATTAATTATGTCATTATTAGAAATGGGGAGAAAATGCAATTTCCTTCTGTCACTTCTTGATATCTTAACTAGAGGAATATTTGCCATGCTATTATAACAAGTCACTGTTCGCATAATGGTGCCCAGGCAATAATACAGAGACATGTACATTTTCATATGAATATATCATGCCTAACTAATGAGATTGCTCATTTCATAACTTCAGTTCCATTTTTATTATTTCATAAAACTGGAAGTCCTTATCCATTTTATGAAAAACACCAAACCTTTGTGAAATTCATTAAATAAGCATAAAAAATTCATTAAACAAGTGAATTGCATTCAGGGCTGCTTTGATGCAAATGCCCTTTAAGCAATGTAAAACTCCATATTGATTTAACCTTTCATGTTCTGATATTTCCATGTGGATATAAAAAAAATTCTTTATTCAGGGAATGAAATTAAGTGCTGATCCCTTGATCTCCGGCTGGGCAAGATAGATTGGTCAATTTAAGTAGCTGCCGCTGATCAGCAAACAACTGAATTTAAAAGTATTAAGGCATGTCGATATTTTAAGTATTGTCACCTGCACATCAAGCAAAGAGAAAAAATTATTATTCCAGCTCAATTAAGTTTGTGTTTGCTGTCAAGCTGACCTTGAAAGGGCTAGCCCATTGGGCCATGGCTTCATGCCCTTGGAAGTTGACAAGGGCAACAGTGGCAAGATGTAAAACACCAACAATAGCCTGAATATTTTGAATTGTGAGGCCAGAGCAGCCGCAAAATAATTAGCCTGGAGACATCGTCCCCTTGGGCTATGTCCCCTCATTAGTGGGGGGCAGTCAGTGGAGTAGGCATTCGTTCAGAGGAGGAGAAAGGGGCTTGCCCTTCACCCAAGAAATGCTTCTGGGAACACTCATTAGGCAAAGAGCACAAGGTGGGTTTCAGAGGACTCTAGAGCTGGAAGGGCTCTTTGAGATCATCTAGTCATTCATTCATTCATTCATTCATTCGTTCATCCATCCACATTCTATGTGCTGAGTACTGTGGTTGGTACTGGGGAATAAAGTGTGAGTAACATAGCTATGGCCCCAAGCCTCGTAGAACTCAAAAATTATGAGCAGTTTTACAGTGAAGAAGCTGATCTCTTAAAAAACAAATCTGATCCATAATGTTATATGCCTGAATTGAATCTCAGTCTGTCATTAATAATTGTGTTGTGTGGCCTTAGGCAAGTGATTTCATCCCTCTGAGTGTCAGCTTCTTCAAATTTCTACCTCACGAAGCTGTTGGGCCAACTCAATAAGATGTTATATATAAAAATCTCGGCAGAGCAGAATGCAAGCGGTTAAGTGCCTGATAAGTGGCCATCATGATCATCACCATCACTGCTGTGATTTCAATCTGACCTTCTTGTTTTAAAGATAAAGAAACTGAAACTTGAAGAATTGAGGTCACACAAAGACTGAGTAGCAGAGTGGGACTCAGAGGACCCTTTCTCATGCCAACAGTGGCTACCACAGCCTCCCAAGCTGCAAGCTTTGAATTTCAAAGGACTCCTGACTCAGACTGGCTTGTGTGACTGTAAAGTTTACAAACCTGCCAGACTTCAGGTGAAACATGATCCAGGAGCCCAGTGATGTCATCTGCTGTTGATTTGTCTGCTCCACTTGCTTGGTAATGACTCCAACCTTAGCAAATTTTTCCTCTCCCAGTCCCAAGACAGCTTTCAGTACTGATACGGTTTGGCTGTGTCACCCCACAAATCTCATCTTGAATCGTAGCTCCAATAATTCCCCATGTCATGGAAGGGACTTGGTGTGAGGTAGTTGAATCATGGGGGCAAGTGTACTTCCCATTCTGTTCTCATGATAGTGAATAAGTCTCACGAGATCTGGTGATTTTATAAAAGGCAGTTCTCCTGCACACGTTCTCTTAGCCTGCTGCCATGTAAGATGTGCCTTTGCTCTTCCTTCGCCTTCTGTTTTGATTGTGAGGCCTCCCCAGCCATGTGGAACTGTGAGTCCATTAAACCTCTTTCCTTTATAAATTACCCAATCTCTGGTATGTGTTTATTTGCAGCACGAGAACAGACTAATACAAGTACAAAGGATACTTCCTGCTTCTTTGTGTGTGACCCAGAGAGCATTTCCAGACAAAGACCTGAAAACCAATATTATCAGGGCAGCTGAAGTCACACACCCACTCCTGAACCAATAAATGGGGCCGGTAGATGGAATGTGCTGACTGACTCAGCCTGGTCTCACTGACATTCCACCTTGGGTCGGTAGTATCATCAGCCAGCCCAGAATCACAAAAATCAGTGGCTATTGGGGAAGTAGGGGATGGTGGGACAATACATGCTTGAGATTTAACCATAAACACCCTCACACAAATTTAAAAGCCACACAACACTGGAAGGTAAGGATTCTATCACATCTGACTAGTATTTATAAAAACAATGACATGAGAAAGAGTTAAGTCTGCACTCTTAACAACATACATCACTGCGAGCTCCAACTGGGTGGAGACTACACTTATCCTATTCACCAACATCTCCCCAGGGCCTGTTGCTGTGAATTTGGGGTGATTAATTAGTGGTTATGAGTGTCAGACTACTTGGTAGGAGTCTGAATCCCAGCCCTACCTCTTGCATGCGTGAATTCTTAAGTGAAGGAGGAATAATTCAGGATCTAGCCAAAGGGTATGTGCACGTCCAATGAAGGAATATCTGTAAAGCACGTAAAATAAATCTAGCAAATAAGAAGCATTCAAAGAATGCTATTCATTATTATTATTATTATCAACTGGTACTTCCCAGCCCCAATCTAAGCCTTCAGTGACATTTCCCATTAAACATATCTGCAGAAGGAAAAATCGCTGGCTACAACATACCCCACACTGTCTTGACTTTTTACCTCTATCATTGATGTCCTTCTTTTTAAGACCCAAAGCAAAAGCTACCTTCTCGGTGAACCCCTTCTTCATCCGCAGAGCTGGAAGCAATCTCCCTTTGCCCTCTATTCTCACAGATCTTTCTTTCCCTTTCTTTTGGAGTCCTTGTCAGATTGTATTGCCATTTCCCTCTTACTTTTCCTCAGACACTCAGATGTTTGTGACAATGTATTAAATTCTGCCTAGAGATCAGTCCCACAGTGGTATTTCAATAGAAGACTCAGAGCAACAGATAAGGGACTCAATCTTTGGGAACTGGGATTGGCATCTAGGTGTATGTAGATTTTGAGGATTCCTTTGGTTACAAGCTAAAACCCTGACTCAAACTAATTAGCAGAATGAGAATAATAGTATAGTTGTTGCAATGAGATGGTGACATTACTGATGCCTACAGATTCAGTGAATGGTAAGTTATTGTAATATTTGTAATTGCAAAGGACTCAGAAATTTACTGAGACACAACACTCAGCTGAAGATAACACAGCACAAACCCACTAAGGCCTGAAAGTTCCCCAGCTGTGAAGGATGCCATCTGCATGGAGGAAAGATTCTCCAGGTGTAAGAAGCTCTGTGTGCCTGTTTTATGGGGGGTGGGGCTGGTGGTTAATACCCTGCTGGCTTCCATCTTCCCTGATTCTTCTGCAGCCTCTGGCAACTTCCCTGCTCACTCATACCAACACATTTGTGATTGAGAGATTGGGTGAGTTGCAGATTGATTTTCAAGGATCAAGACCTAGGAGGCCCAAGCGGCAGCCAAGCCTGAGGACCTTTCCTGAAATTGAGTTCTTCCTAAGTGTACAGCTGAAATAGCTCCATGAGACAGGTGCCATTATCCTCCCCATTCTACAGTTGAAGAAACTAAGACACAAAGGGCAATGAAGTGAGTTGTTCTAGCACCAGAGTTAGTGACCATATAAATTTATGTGATCCCACAACCCAAACTCTCAATCTCTAACCTGTAGTGTGCCCTGTTGATTGCATATGATTGAAGGAAGGGTGAAACAGTTGGACAACTTGAGGGATCCAGGGATCTATTCTCTTCACCTCAGACTTCTCATTGGCAGGTGGAGTTCATTTTCTCTCACTGCAAATGAGAAGCCTTCTTGGCAAGGAATGTGGCTTAATTACAGCTTCAGCACTGCATATCTTGCAGTTCCATTCAGTGTCTGGTGCTGATAAACTTATGTCAGGGGAGATGGGACTCCGTAAGAACTGAGATGTTCCTGTTGGAGTGGGTGGAAGAGCTGATGGGAGGTGTTGGTCATAGACTACCACAGATGCCCACACAGTAGCTAAAGTCTCAGCTTCTCTATAAAGTCATACAGCAAACTGAAAAGATGAAGTATATACAGCAAGCAGCCAGTGTCTTTTAAAAAAAAAAAAAAAAGATGGAAATAGTCACCAGGGTTTTTTTCATCTTTACGTCTGCTTAATGACAAGTATTCTTGCTCACTGCCAGGAATAATAAAGC